CACACATGTACACACAGCAGAAAGGAAAACAGAGTAAAAGAAAAGTAAAGAAAGTAAAACTCCTGCATCCTGTGGGTGGCCCTTATTGAGATGCATTATTAAGAAATAAGGTGATACTATTTAACCTGGATTAACATTCAATTAATGAAGGCAGATATGGACACAGGTGCACATTCACCTCAATCTCATTGACATCTGCAGAGGGACGGGAAAGCACAGGTGAGATGAGCCACAAACATCCTGAACCACATCAACATTTAATGAGGCCTGAGAAACACGAGTCTTTAATTCAAGAAGGGCAGGTAATGAGAGGTTTGCCACACACACAGTTGCCGGACACAACTCCTCTCGAGGCTCCTGCCTTTGCAATTGATATTCTTAATCCAGCCTACTGTGCTAACACCCACGACTGCAGATATTGTTAGGAGGCCAAAGGTCTTTTTTAAAACTCTCATAAAGTTCTCATTTAGGTCACATGTTTTAGGAGAGAAGTTAGTTTTTTAGAGATACATTATTATATTTGTAGCAACAAAAACCTTCTGTTCTGAATGTGCCTGAATTCCTAACCAAAACTGGTCATACACTGGGAAGAAGTCAAAATCACAAGGTCTGAAGAAATTCAAACTCAAAAGTTGGTCAAATAAACACATAGACAAAATGATGATGATATATTATATTAACATTTTACAAAGTAGTATTCCGCATCATCTGCAGCTTGAGAACCAGTAACTTTACCTGTACTGATTGAACAGAGAATCATAGAGGAGTCCAGCTAGCATCAACATGTGTCTGCTTCGCTTGAAGGTCAACAAATTGTCTGCTCTGTCTAGTTTCCATTTTAAGAACCAAACTGGACTTTTCACTGAGCTGGCACATTTTCTTACATTTGTAGTTTTATGATAATGACTGCTGCAGTTATGTGATGTTGTGAAAAAAGACTGTTCGTCTCAAATCGTTTTTTATTCTGTGTTCTAGGGTTGAAAAATAATTGTTATTATGCAGGCTCAGAGAGAGGTGTCAAAGTAAGAAGCTTTATGCTGAATGAGACAAGCCATAGTGTAACTGTAAACAGTCATTGAAAGAATATTTACAAATGTAATTTGTACCCGTCTATAGACACAGTGTCCATCCCTTTTCCTTCAACAAAATGGGATGGACAAACCTGCTAGGGCAATTTATCTCTGAACAAGCAATGGTTTTTTATAATTTGAAAGGAACAATTTGATCACCAATTTCCATTTGAGAGTCTATTTTGCATTTATTTGCAAATTAATTATGAGGCGAGAGATGCCCCGGTGACCTTACATTTTTCCCATAAGAACCAAGCAGTTGAGAGAGAGAGCGAGAGCGAGATGGGAAATATGGGAAGCTTAGGATGGCAGAGAGACAGAAAGAGAGACAGAAAGAAAGACAGAAAGAGAGACAGAAAGAAAGACAGAAAGAAAGACAGAAAGAAAGACAGAAAGAGAGACAGAAAGAAAGACAGACTTAATATTGCCTTGAAACAGAATCTCAAGGCACAAGGGTCACGTCTGAGAAAATACAGCAGGGAAAGTAAATTAAAGTAAGCGAAATGGAAAGTGAAAGGGCAGAACGAGGAAATCAGGGAAGGTGCAAGAAAATATAATTTATTGCGAGGGAGGGGAGTGAAAAAAATAAAGAGCAACGATGAGAGGAAGAGGAGGTTGGGGAGACGGTCGGGGGGGTTGTAATAGAGCAGTGAGACTGCAGAGGAATCATGGTTCCCACCTGCTGGCTATTTTCCCAGAGACAGAAGCCCACTTGTTTGTTATTGACTGAGATCATGCCCTTTATTCCACACTGAGCATGTGTGACAACACTCAGCTGACATCTTAAAAGCCTAATAAGCTCAGTACACACTCATGGTGTTGGACTAGATGATATTGGAAGCAAGACCATTACATTCAGTTTTGTGAGTGACCTCTGATGCAACCGAAAGCCTCTGTGCTGTAATTCAACAGTTTAATTAAGGCCGTTGTTTTTATTGTGCGTGTATTGGCATGCAGGTTGTGTGAGTGTGTACCGGTAGATAGCGGTGGGCGTTGTGCCCTTCTCTGTTCACACACCTCAATCACCATTCAGTATACTTATAGCAGCAATCCTCCACAAAGGACAACCGTTAAGACCCTTGGTGCATTTCTCAAGGTCAACCATCATACATGCACACACTCGTGTACACACTGAGATCCAAAGCTCCTTGAACACTCCCACACACCTTCCCAATCAAATCCTCTCACTAAATGGCCCGCCGTAGCTCTTTCTCTCCTCTCATCGCACTCAGTTTTCCCCCTGAAGTCCTAACCTTCTGTGTTTCAGTAACTACCATGTTCCCCAAAGTCCCTGCTCCGCTGAGGCATTAAATCCTTAAAAGGAGTTCTGCAACCTGTGTCTTATATTCATTGCTGTGACCATCATTCATTACAACCTGCAGTGATAATACAATGTTCCTCACACATAAACTATCAAATAAAAAATGTCCCGTTTGTGAGACTAAGCAGTCCATTTAAACATGTGGTGGTCCTTCCATCAACAAACAGTACAAGCTATTGCTCTACTATCATGTTGGTGAACAGTTATTTATTTATACATCCAGCAGATATAAAACAATATGATCCACTATTTGGAATCATGTTTCAGGACAAATTACAAATGCAGGGCAAACTATATTAGCTCTGTTGGTGTTCATCAACTAATGAGGTAAATATTGTGCTCTTCAGCTGTTTGATACTTCACAAGCTTAGTAGCTAACTGTGTCTGTGACGAGGAGTCAGCTCACAGACACTTCTTGGATCTTTCCTGCTTAAAATGTCCTGAGAGCCACTAAAACGCTCTAATGAGAATCATTTTCTGCATGTTCATCACTGCGAATGACACCTTTCACAATGCAAATAGACATCTGATTAGGGCAGCTTTAGATAGGCGTTCATGCTCATCAAATGTTGTGTTTCTCAGTCGTTGCCCAGCTAGCTCCAATTTGTTACACGAATATATGGACAGAGTTAAATGTGCATTTAAAAAAAATGGATAACGCATACAAATAAATTGTATGTGCATAGTTTTCCTATTCAACGAAAACAAATGAAGATAATTTGGCTAACCTTTGTTGGTTTACAATCTCAGTGCGTGTCTAACAACTCATGTTCCTTTCCCCACATGAAAACAAAATCAACCAACGTCTAATGAGCCGCAATTCTCCTTCCAGGAGAAGAGGCAGAATGCTTTTATGAATAAATGAACATCCTCCGCTTCCACTGGCAATCTGTGTCTTTCTTCACCTTTTTTCCCCAGGGTTGGCTGAAAACCAACACTTGTCTGCCGTGTCCATTCACAAGAAAAAGACATCGCACCCTTAACACCGAGGCCAAAATGTCTTGCCCACATTCTCTCATATTTTAGTCAGGACTATTTTATTTCCTCAACATTCTTCACTTTCTTCCATTATTGCCTCAATCTTCTCCTATTTGATTTGGTCACTATTCCCATCTTCCCCCTTCTGTTAATCATGTCCTCATCCTCTTGTCGTTCTCATCAGTAATGCCTTATTTCAAGCCTCTAAACACAGCTGAGTTTTTTCCCACAATTTACCAGGCTTAGCAGCAGAAAGGACAGTGATGCTTTCCTTCAGGAAGCCGTCACACTGCTGTGCTAAAAGGTTTATACTTGTGTGTTCCCGTTTTCATGTAAATATGTGCGTCTCTGAAGGAGTTGTAAAATGGTAGTCAAGAGGTGATTGTTGCCAGTGCGGATAAACAGAAAGAGCTAGAAAAAACCTATATGTATCAATAAAGTATTGAAAGTATTGAGCTGTATGGGTAGTATTTATTTTTCATGCACCAAAAGTTAGCTGGGAGCAATGTGCCGTCAGCTCTATCTGCGTATGTCTTTTTTACGTTGTGTTGTCAGAAAGACAAAACTGCAGACAGCGATAAAGTTAGAAACCAAAACAAGTTAATGAGGACCAGGCAATAATGAACTGATTGCTTGATTAGAGGCATAGAGCCTCCACAGGCTTTTTTTCCCTTCTGAACCAATGAGAGCAGCACAAATATGTGTGGCTAACGTGTTGACGCTATTCTTTGCTCAGGTTGGGCAACTTTAAGAAAATGGCCATGAAATCACCACCCATCCTTCACTTTGACTGTCAAAAAGGTGGACAGGAACCTAGCCAGCCATGCTGTCCGGAGGGGTAGAGTCAGGTAAAGGTAATTGCTTAGCAAGAGAACGAAACAGGAGATAGAATCAGGAGGAAAGGGGGAGAGGTGACAGCCTATAATTGGAAACGGAGAAAGATGGTGGAAGAGGGAGAAGAAAGAGAGTTGGGCGGGTAGAATGAAAGAAAGAACAGTCCTTTATAAGCCATATGCGCTCTACCACAACATGACATAACACATTGCCACGCATGTCATATACATGGCGCCCTGCAGTGTAGCGTGGGTAAACAGAGCTATATGTGTCTCAGATCAGAGTGCACTAATAAGTCCTAGCTACAATCTCTTTTCAGCAGCTACATAAGTTAGTTTCACAATTTATGACTGCACATAACTCAGGCACAAAGTTAATGTAATGAGCAATGCTACAGCCACAAAAAACAAGTGCTGGGATGAGGGTATTGCTAAATTTGTCCGGCATCATGAATCATGGCAACATTTCGCCAGTGGAGATTTATTTACATGCATCACTCTGACCGCTTACGAAACCCCTTTATGAAATGCCTCCAGTGCTTTACAATACCGTTAGAACGGGATGTATATGGTAAGAAAGCATGACCAGGGACACAAACACACACAATCTCTCATCCTTCTTCCTATGCTGCAAGTAACTGAGGGCAAGTAGGGAGACTTGTCAGGGTGGGTAGTCGTCAACCCTGAAGATCTACAAACACGCACTGTTGCGTTTCAAGTGTCTGCGTGCTCCATTGCTAAAAACACAGCAACCATTGAGAAAATGAACAAGTCTGTGTGAAGTATTAATGTACATACCCAGGACTGAAGCGTGGTCCCTGATGCCTCCTCATCTGTCCAGCTGTGTGCGTAGGTAAATCTATTTTCCTCTCCTCTTGGCACCACAAGTTGCAGACGCTGCTCCACACGTGCCGGTCCTCCGCTCCTCAGTCTGTCTCCGCCTCACTCTCAGAGCCTGGCATCTGTACTAGACCTGTCACTCATCCTCCTCTTTCTCTCCTACTCCCTCCTTCCCGCCGGCAGCCTTGTTTGCTTACACACCTCCTTTCACTCCTTGTTGGTTATTGTCCAAAGATATGATCCAGGCACTCGCAGGAGGGGGTGGGGGGTGAGATTTCCCTCTCCTTCAAACAGTGCTCCTCAGCGGGTCAGGGCGCCCTCCATCTCCCCCGGCGTGGATGTGGGATTATGAGAGAGGAAAGGGAGGATGGGTGAGGAGCGGGCTGTTGCTGTAGCTGTTGCCTGCTTCAATGTGAGCGCCTCTCTCTCGCTAAGCATGGTTTTCATCGCTCTCTCTCTCTCACTCTTTATCTCCCACTACCCCCCTCCCCCCTTTCTCAGTCCCTGTCTATCTGCTGCTGCTGCTCCGGCTGTTTGGATTCACAATTCAGTGTGCTCTCGGGCGTGCGGTTTAGGGAGTCTCTCTAAACAGCCAGGCAGGAAGAAAAACGAAGAGACAGAGCAGAGATTGAAGAGGCGGAAAAACAGGAAAGGAGATGATAGCATTTTGAGCCTGAAAGAGAGGAAAATATGAAGTTACTTTGCAATAGACAAAACCAAGAAATATATATAAAGATAACTGTTAAATAAATATAGATAAGTTAGATTTATTAAATTACAATTTAGGAATTTAAAACAACACATCCAATAAAAGCACAACGCGACAGAGCACTAGTTTGTGTTCCATCAATGTACCAAAACTACATTTGAGTCACGGAGAGGCTGTTTTTATTAAAGCGGCTTTGAAAAGTAGCCTTTGAGCTTTTTGCTAACATCAGTATGCTAATTTGCTCACAATGATAATGCTATAACAATGATGATATTTTGCAGATAAAATATTGACCATGATCACTTAGCATAGCTGGCTAGCTTTTGCACTATAACCTTTTTTAAACCCCATTTCCAAAGATGCCATTATCTTAAAGAACATCAGTAAAATGTGTTAACTTAAAATCATCAAGGTTAAATAAAGATCAATAGTTTCCAGAGAAAAAGACATTTAGCTATGTGACTTAATTATATTGACAATCAAGAGACACAAATCAAAACTTAAAGAGACAAATAATAGCAACTATAGACATTATTAGGAGCAATCCAAACAAAAAATAACTGGCTTGCCTGATTTACTCCAACAGGTTGTTCCAGAGTCGTGACTGCAAAGGTCTCCTCAGGCTCATATGGGGTTAGCAGGTCAAAACCATCCCATTGGTGGTCATTAGGATTGTAAAACTCACTCTAACAAGTACAGGCTGCAAACTTAGAAATGCTTGCATTTTAACCTTTCATCTACTGTGTCTTATGAGTAATATTGCTCCGGCTTTCTGAGACAAAACAACACCAAAATGTGATGTAGTATAATGAGTATAGCATCCAAAATGGGGATTTGGGCTCCAAAATTACTCTTGGGAATGTCATCTCTTTAGTTGGTTTGTTATATTTAATCATCTCCCCAATTCAGCCTGAAGCATGCAGAGAGAGAGAGGGAGCAAACGAAAGAGGGAGAGAGAGAGAGAAAATAGACATTTTTATTGTTCGGTCTTCTTGCCTTGTCAGGGTAAATCAGATCAAAAGGGTAGTGAGGTTCAAAGACACTCACACACAGGAACACACACAGAGAAACACACTCTTCTAGCCTGACTGATTGCCCCTGGGGTCAGTTAACAGCTCATTGCAGGAAAGGAGAAGTCTGGCCTGCAACCCTCAGGTCAGGGGTCGGGCATGTCATGATGACTGGTGGAGGCCAAGTCCAGCAAAACACCCACCACTCCAACCACTGATCCAATCCCACCTACACACACGTAAACATCCTACAGCACATGTTTTTCCTCTGCTGAAGCCTTGGTGCACCTGCCCATTAAGCAGACAAAAATGTACCTTCTCACTAACTTCTCCACTAAATGTTATAGTTTTCAGGTTCTGGGATATCCACCTCTTAAGATTCCTCTCCTGTGGTGATGTTACTCAATGTTCATTCCAACAAACCTCTTCTACTCCTGCAGCAGGACTCAGTTCTGCACTGTGTTTTAATCTCTGCCAAGGAATAGAGGAATGTCACTGGTATTGGTATCAACTACTGCATTTCTGGTATTGTGACATTCGTACTTCATACAACCCTACTTCCAAAATCCCAAACCATGCCTTTGACATTACTTTAACCAGATAGTTGAAAGAAAAATATGAATGTCATATTGTGTATTTCACCCACAATTGCTGAAACTGGAAGCCAGAAATCTTGTACGTCAAAGTCATGAAATAATTTGCTGCTCCGTTGACAATTCTTTTTTTTGTTTGATGGCTCCACCTTGAAAAATGGAAAAGATATCCCGGTGGGTGCACAGTGACTGCATAAGATGTCTTCAGAATGGGTGCAGGGCATGTTAAAAATGATGGTTGCAAATGTATGTAAGAATTTAATACCAGCGTGGGTCTTAAACAGCAGCCAAGTGACAGTCTCCTTGCTCGAAGCCTTACTTTTGGGAGGACTTTCATTTGCGCTGACATTTAGGATAGAATAGGATGACATTTGAGTTTTAGAGTATGTGGGACGTGGGACGTGGGTCGGACATGAATGCGTCAGATGGCTTGGATGGAATAAAGTACGAGACTAAGTGGCACAAATCATACCTGTATATGAGAGGAAAGAATGAGATAAATGGAGCTATTAAGTCTATTTTTGCATACTCATCAAAGTAAAGCTTTAGCATCACTTGGAAATGATTAATGCTCACACTTTCCTTTCCTTGTCACCTTGTGCTTAAGCACCTACAGATATGCTAATCAAATCCATAACAAGAGCAACTTCTCAGCGATTGAAACAGGACATTTGATTGAAACATGCATACATTATGGATGTCCTTTTTTGTCTAGCCTGCATGCTCTCTATCAGCAGCTGTGTCATAACTAATCACAGCCTCGTTCATTACTGTTGCATTTGGCAACTTCTCTGCATTTCAGCCCGTTCAAGCAGACAGGGACGAGCCAAGGGGAATTACATCTCGGACTGGTCACACTCACACAAATACCACATGCTTCTCATATGACCTGAGCTATTTCCCATCAAGTCACTCTATACTGAGGATGAGGGGTCTGAAACCCCGAAACATAAAGCTGTTTGTAAATAATTTATACATGTGACATCCAAGGGTTCAGATCTTTCAAGTCTATCAAGAGTCATTGGTTGCTGTCTTTTTTTAAATGTTCCTTTGTCCCAGTGTAAGAGATGTGGGACAACATGTATAACAAAGTTCAGTTCAAGCTATCAGCAAGTCAAATTAGTCCCAAACTAAATATTTAAACTGTTGCCTCACTTCAAATATGAAATTGTCCACAATATGCCTGTGTCATTCTCAAGAATACCTACATTGATGTCGGATAAAGTATTAATTCAGACCTATTGTTTTTTGGTGCTTGAAAAACTCTGTCAGTGTGGTTCACATAGAAGCACTTTATCTGTGTGGAAATACAATAAACTGAATCCCCTGTAGCTTGGCCTGTGGTCTCAGACAGAGCACCTTATTCACAACTCTCTCTACCACAGTCGGCCATTTCCTGTCAGGTAATAACTTTGCTTGAAATGCAGTGCCAAACAAAATGGATTTACAAAAAAATAAAAGATCTTATGTTCCCCCTCTCCCTCGATCATTTTATTTCTGGTCTAGTCACTACCTCCATTTGGCTCTGAGAGAATGATCACTGATGACACATTCATTAACGATGATATTAGGGAAGAGAGGAATAGCAGTTAACTGTGATGCTAACTATCTTGGCAATGCAACATCGTTATCTGTTCCTCTGCGTGTGGGTGTTACTGAGAGTCTTATCAGTGGAAACAGACCTGGACGTGAGCTGGGTGGCGAGCAGGAGAAGGATGTGGAGGGGGGGTGGGAGGAGCGGTGGGGAAGGGAAAGCAACAGTGAATTTGAAGGATAAGAAAATAAATGGGAGACTGGAAGCAGGCAGAGGCGTGGAGATAGACGATAGACACATGGAGGCTATGAAAAAGGGATAATGTGTTGTGAGCGAGTTGAAAGCAAGATAAAAGACAAAAAAAGAGAGAAACAGAAAGCAAGTGGGACGTGATCCGGGTGGAAAGTGGGAGCAGAGGAAGGGACTGGAAGGGGAGAACAACAGAAGTTGGGTGAGTCAGGGAGAAGATGCCTAAAAGGTGATAAGTAGAACTGGGCAGGAGAGACATGCACCAGAAAATACGTTTTTGATGGACTGATCTTCCGTGCAGGTACCTCAGGGTGTGCCTCTAATCTCTTGCCTTCGCCCTGGAGTATTTCATTTCTGGTTTATATCGGCTTGAAGGCTATGACATAACATCCGGCATATTCTGAACTTTCATATCAAAATATGGTGACCGCTTGAAATTACATCAAGCACTCTGAGGCAAATCACTTATATTTAAAGTAGCAGTATTCAAAGTTAAAAATATGCCCTATGAAGTGGCCCTCAAATCTCAAGATGGCAGAACTCACTCCCTACCATCCCAAAGTTGAACAGTTCTGTACGACTGAACAGGTTCATGACTCAATGTTCGAACAGCCTGAAGCCTGAAACATGTCTCTGTCTGTAAGTTAGAAAACCGTTGAGGACTGTGTGCACTTTGTGTGTGTTTTACAGCCAACACATTCAGGCTTAGGATACTCAGAATGACCAATAAAACATCCGAAAGTAATGAACACATTTCTGCCAACATACTGGCATGTAGAGCAATCATCATCTCACTGCCACATTTCACTAAAATTGTACTCCAATCAAGTTGTACATGCTGGCTTTTTCTGGAGTGTACTCAGTTGCACATTTCATGTTTATGATGTATTTATTCCATTAGTGTTTGTTTAATAAACTGTTGGATTTATTATTTTAAATGTGTGGTTTTTTTTGGGCAGTTCTGTTGCCTTGTGGTCAAAATGTTTACCTTGTGATTGCAAAATCTGTGGTTCAATTGTGCCATTTCTTTGGTGAATATCATTGCCATTGATTTCTCCATGTGTCATCCTCACAGTCATCTATGATAATAAATAAGACGCCAGTAAGGTGTTCCTTTCTTTACCTCCACGGCTGCTGCTTTGCAATAACTAGCAGTAAAACTTGTCTGAAGTGGATGTAAATCTTCAGCATGGCACAGACCAATGTGTTATTTTCAGAGACACCATCTGAGAAAAAGTGGCATTATAAGCCTTTTGAAACTACAAATGCTCTGCAGCTATGCAGCGCGTTAAAGGCACTACAAACACACATTGCCG